TTATAGACAAACTTTATAATTTACTTATTTTTGGGTCCTTCTCAGTAATTAATTAATTATCAATTAATTAATTCTGATAGGCCTATTTTCAGGGCGTTACATTTCTTTCCCCCTTAAAATAATTTCGTCCTCGAAATTACTTGAGTCATTGATTGAAGAGATTCGGATATTGCGTTCTCATTGACTCTTCGGTTTCCCTTGTTGCCTCTTCAGTCGAGTGATTCCTCCATAGTATTTTGACTAGAGGTACAGATTTGTTTCTCAATTGTTTGACCTCACGTGCCAGAATTTGTACAGGTTCTTCCTCGTAAGTCAATTGTTCATCAAGAGTTACGATTCCCTCAGTCAAGATATGCGATGGATCGGAACGGTATCTTTTCAACATCGATACATGGAATACGTCGTGAATCTTATTCAGTTCGGGCGGAAGTTCTAACCGGTAGGCTACTGGACCCACACGTTCAGTAATGCGGTATGGTCCAATATACCTTGGACTTAGTTTTCCCTTCCTACTGAACCGTAGCACTTTCTTCCAAGGTGATACTTTCAGAAACACCTTGTCATCAACATTGTATTCGATCTCTCGTCATTTTAAATCGGCATAAGATTTTTGTCGATCGGAAGCCACTTGCAGTCTTTCTCTAATTAGACGAACCTTTTCTTCAATTTCGCGGACAAGATCGGAGTTCGGCTATCATCTTTCGGCTCAATGCGTCAGCTACTACGCTAGCCTTACCAGGGTGATAGTCGATGTAACAATCATAGTCTTTGATTAATTCCAACCATCTTCTTTGTCTTAGGTTCAACTCTCTTTATGTTAGTAGGTATTTGCAGACTTTTGTGATCTGTGTGAATATATGTTGTCTCTCCAAAAAGATAATGACGCCATATCTTCAGAGCAAATACGACTGCTGCTAACTCAAGATCGTGAGTAGGATAGTTACATTCGTGAGGCTTCAACTGCCTTGATGCGTATTCCACGACTTTTCCGTTTTGCATGAGTACACATCCCAAGCCACTATGTGATGCGTCACAAAAGATCGTGTAGTCTACACCTGGTACTGGTTGTGTCAGTACAGGTGCTTTTGCCAGACATTTCTTTAGTTTCTCAAAGCTTTGCTGACATGCATCGGTCCATACAAATTTCACATCTTTTCTCAGAAGTTTGTTAAGTGGAGTTGCGAACGAGGAAAAGCCTTCAACGAATTGTCGATAGTATCCAGCTAATCCAAGAAAGCTTCTCACTTCACGAACATTCCTTGGAACCTTCCACTCGGTGATGGCAGATATTTTACTGGGGTCCACTTTAACACCTTCTTGAGAAATCACAAGTCCCAAAAACGTAACTTCATCAAGCAAAAATTCACACTTTGGCAGTTTGGCATACAGTTTATGTTCCCGTAGTACGCTGAGTACTATCTCCAAATGTTTCGCATGGTCTTCTCGATTCTTCGAATAGACAAGAATATCATCGATGAATACAACCACGAATTGATCAAGATAAGGCCAGAATACACTATACATGAATCCATGAATACTGCTGGAGCATTGGTCAAACCAAAGGGGATTACCGTGAATTCATAATTACCATAACGAGTACAGAACGCAGTATTTGGGATGTCCTCTTTCTTTACCAGGATTTGATGGTATCTTGACCGTAAGTCAATCTTAGAGAATATAGTAGATCCTCTAAGCTGATCAAATAAGTCATTGATACGCGGTAAAGGATATTGATTTTTGATTGTGACTTTGTTTAATTGGCGATAATTGATGCCAAGTCTCATCGAGCCGTCTTTCTTTTTGACAAACAGGACGGGTGCTCCCCAAGGGGAAACACTCGGACGTATGAATCCTTTATCGAGCAGTTCTTGTAGTTGAGCCTTCAACTCTTTCATTTCAGCAGGGGCCATGCAATAAGGAGTTGCAGATATCGGTCCTGTTCCAGGAACAAGATCGATGGAAAATTCTACTTCTCTCGACGATGGTATACCAGGAAGTTCGTCAGGAAATACATCTGGGAATTCACAAACGTTTGGTATGTTTTTCAATTCGGGAGTTTCCTTCCGTGTGTCACGTACATTACACAGATAAGCATCACATTTCTTTCGTATGAGACGCCTAGCGTGTATGTACGAGATGAACTGAGTGGGTTTAGGAGTTGGCTTTTCTTTCACCTCTATGAATCTTCCTCTGTTAGTTCTCAATTGTACCACCTGTTGTCGGCAGTCAATAACCGCCTGATGTTTTGTAATCCAATCCATTCCAAGAATGATGTCGAATTCTTTGTACGGTAGCTCAACAAGATTTGCAGAGAATCGTTGTCCTTCAACAATTAATGGGCAGTCTTGGTACACATGATCTAACCTCATACTATGTCCTAACAGGTTTGACACTAGTATAGGTTGTTCTAAACTTTCTTTCATTATATCGGCTTTTACAGGCATAGGCACGCAGATATAAGATAATGTTGATCCGGGATCTATCAACACGTGCATAACAGTATCAAATAAGGAAAACAAACCCTGAATGACGTCAGGGTTTTCCTCAACTCGTGCCTTCATCCCATATGTACGAGCAGGAGCCCGTCCTTGTTGTTGGCTCTGATTCTTGGCTGGATTAGACCCCGCTATTGAGCGTTGACTTGGTGCGGGTTGTGCCGATGCTGCTTGACTAACAACAGGGGCAGGTGGAAATGGTTCTCCGGGGTTTGTAGGGCACTCCTTTCGGAAATGTCTTGATTTTCCACATCCAAGGCACAACCCTTGTTTAAGCCATCATTCTCCCGGGTGATTTCTTCCACAGTGTTCGCAGGCAGGATACCTCCGCTTTCTGGACTTATCAACGGATGCCATCAACTGAGTTTATACAGATTTCCCCTTTTTAGAGAAATGTAAACTGCTAGATCCTTGGAAAGGCCTTTTTCCTTTCAAAACTGAACTGGTGGGTTGATGAGTACTGGGGCTTGGATTGTTGATTTTCAGATACTCATTGCAGGCACTCAAGTCATTATCTGCCTTGGCTATTAGATCGTAAGTCGCCATGAAATCCACCGTGGTCAAGATGGATACTCTCGAGCTGAGTTCAGGTCGAAGTTTATTCTTGAACTCTTCGATACGGTCCGTTGGGGTGCTCACCAACGTTGGCGCAAACTTGGCAAGACGGATGAACTTCTGACGGTACTCGGGTAGTGTCATATCCCCTTGTTGCAGTTCCACAAATTCCTTACGTCTTTCCTTGCAAAAATTTTTGGGAATATATTCTTGTTTGAATGCCCACTCGAAATGGGCCCAAGTCCAGGGTTTTGGTGTTTCTGCACTTTCGTCAGTTCTCTTCCACCATTCATAGGTTTCCTTGCGGAGTGGTTGAGAAGCGAGCCTAGGATAGTTACCAATTGGCACATTCAAATCCTCCAACACTCGAGCGGTTTGCTCGATCTAGTCCCACGCGATCTGGGGTTCCGCGATACGATCTCCAAGGAATATCTCGGCACCGTTATCCCTTAGCGTCTTGTAGGTTATCACACGGGGTGGAGGTGGTGGTAGTTGAAACATTGGTGCGTTGGCTATCTGTTGTAACACATTAGCCAGAAAAGTTGGAATCACAAGGTCGGGTTGACCACCAGCGTTCGGGTTATTCCCAACATTTTGTTGATTGACAGGTTCATTTTGGACGGGAGGGGTAAAGCTAGATGCTTCAGTATGAACACTGACGTGTTCATTGTTGTTGCCTTGTCCGTGGGCAGATTCTTGACTCATTCTACAATAAAAGAAATTCCTTTATTAGGATTATTTTATTCAGTAGTTGAGTTTAAGACATGAATTGCAAAGGATTACAAGAGTCGATACAATCAATGGATTTGAAACAACAACAAGATAATTTCTAAGCGTTTGTGTTCGATTAGTTGAATCGTGACGAATCTATAGACGAATCTTCCTTGCCCGACCCACATATGCTATTGGCAGAGTCTACGCTGAACGTCTCTTCTGGGTCATCTCATTCCCATGCAGCCTTTCGGCGCAGATAAATCCTTCGTTTCATTATTCTTGCGAAGCGATGTGCACGTTGGTAACGTATCAACGAGTCATAGACATTTCGTTTGTTCTTTTGTCTTTTACCAAGTATGAAAGCGCGACTTGAATCAACACTTGATATCATTTCCGAATTAACAATTGACATCTATAAAATTTAATACCGTCAATTTCAATACTCATTTTTTTTATTACCTTCCTAGAGCAGAGGGATGCGAGAGTTGTGGATTTGATTGACATCATTTTTTTCGCCGAAATACATATATAATATGTAAAATAATTTTTTTTAAAATCCAAGTTTTGATCCGAAGATCGGGTTTAAAACCATTGCCTCCGATACCAAATTGTAACACCCTAATCCGTCCAAGTCTGCAGCCCCTTTCGGACTAAGTATTAACTTGGTAATCATAAAATTTAAAACATTTCAAATACTTTTATTCGTCATAAATATTATTCAATACATAACTGTAGCAAAATGCGGAGTGTTTAATGATAGCGCGGAAGCAATTTAAACCATGTTTAATAACAACACAATTGTTCATTTTAAAATCAAAATTTCACCACGACAGTCTCGCCCCTTCTACTGCCAAGAACATGCCAATCACTCATCCTGCCTACCTGCGTGTAGCAAATAAAACACATTACACGCTCAGCGGTGAGGCTGAGTAAGCATATCGAAAGCGTCGAACATCCACATAAATTGAATCTCAATTCACAAACAATCATTTGATATCATGCACACAATATATAAGTCATTCATGATATTCTCAATATTTTTATTTCAATATTTTAATAATCACCATTTACATTAAATGTTCAATATTTGACAATATCCTTAAACTATGCTTAGTCTAAAGCCAAATCTTTTTACGTTTACCAACTCTTAAACTAATTCTAGTTCAAGGTACTTCTACCCAACTCTTAAGCTAGGTCATTAGTTTAAGGTACATATATTCCGATTGATTTACCAACTCTTAAACTAGCCTTCGCTTAAGGTACAAATCCAGAAAACCAAACAGTAGAATACTAACTGTCGGGTTGGGTGGTATCCCCAAACGAGTTCCTCTAGTTTGGTTTATGGATCCCGTACGTACGTTTTTACCCAAGACCACCAAATATACATTTTTATACCCGCAAGGCCCAATCTAATTTGAGGTCTATCTTAGAGGTCTTCGAGATAGCCTTAACAATACACCGATTTCATGATCATCATTATATTCATTTTTAATCATGATTTAATCATTAATAATCATCCTAGGTTTATCATTCATAATCATCCATAATAATTATCCATCATAATGATCATTAAACATAACGTTTAATGACAATTAGCGGTCTAGTCTCGAGTGTTAACACCCAAACTTACCGTCATGCATCACATAATGTTTTAATTTGTTAAAAACATCATTTTTATTGTGAA